TAATATTACTAAAATTAATATTTAATATTTTATAAAGAAATTAACAATTTTTTTTAATTTCGCAGACAAATTTGCCTGCTAGACAATTTAAGAAATAAGGAAATTTAATTGTAAATTATAGTGTTCATCTTTACTCATGATAGATATGGATAAGTATTTAATAATTAAAAATAGTATTCATAGAGGTATGATAATAATAAGTTATCGATATAGCAAAGCAAATAATCTGCAATATCCTGATTATAATCCTAGCAAGCTGAATTTTTGGATTATATATAAGAATATGAATGCTTTATATTCAGGTGCAATAACCCAATACATACATACAAAAATCTTGAATAAGATGAATCCAAAAGAAGTACCAAATGTCCAAAGTATTATGTCTGATACTGAAATTGATTATATGTTTAAAATTGATTTAGAAGCTCTAATACACTTATATAACTTTTTTACAGATTACCCTTTAACGCCAAAAAAGCAGGTAGTGCCAAAAAATAGCTTAGCTTATATAATGAAAGATTAGTATATGATAAAAAAATTGGAAATGGAAAATATATATTTGGAGAGAAGTTACTTCAGACCTTTTATACTAAGAAAAATTATATGATACATTATTAAGCTTTCTAAATATATATAAGATTTGAAATGAAAATTACAAAGATTTATGATGCTCTTAAATTCTAATAGTCTTTTTAGATAAAAGATTATATTAAGAAAAATATTTACAAACGTAAAATAGCTAAGGCTAATAGATGAGTTTGGGATTATGTATTATAAGGTAAAAAACAATGTTTTTTTTTTAGTAAACAGATAGAGAATATTTGCAAGCATATAAGAGTAGAGTTACTTTATACAAATGAAAATAAAAAAATATCTAACAAACTTTCTATTATATATAGGCTTTAAAGCTTTTGAGGGAAGTATAATAACTATACATATGCTAAAAGATATAATGATTCTAAATAAAATAATTTATATAAAGCAAGTGATTCTTGACATTAGCAAAGCTATAATGTTTAACTTTTGGTATAGTTATATAAAACCTCACTATAGAGATAAGGTACACTTATTTTATACTGATACAGACTTACTTATCATACTTATTGAATCTGAGAACATATATAAAGATTAAGCAGAAAGGTCAGACATTTTCAATCTTGACTATTCAGATAACTTATTTCTAATGAAAAATGAGACAAAAAGTGGACTTATAGGCGAATTAGTATGTTTTAAATTAAAGATGTATTCAGTTCTTCTAATAAGACATGATTCTAAAATTTCTGAAATAGTCACAGATTATGAAAAAGAGTTAGAAGAGAAAGAACATAGAAAATCTCAAGGAGATAAGCATTGGAAGAAAAAGCATAACATCCAAAAGGCGAAGAGTGTCAAAAAATCTGTAGTTAAGAGGAAACTTTGACATAACTAATTTCTAGAATGTCTTAGAACTAAGAAGCTAACTTGTCATAATATATATAGACTTCACAGTTATGATCATCAAATATATCTGGAGAAAGTAAATAAAATAGGATTAAATCTATATGATAACAAGTATTAGACCTTACTTGAACCTTTTATATAGTCATTTACTAAACTTCATATCAAGGCATAGATGTTTATAACAAATATTTTTTTAGATAAAAAATAATAAATACTATAAAATATTTTTTTATTAATTAAAGTTTTTTCATTGCTAAAGTAAAAACATATAAAAATGGTTGATTACAAAAATATAGAACTTGCATAAGTTAAAGTCATAAAAACTGCATTGCGAAAGAATAGAAAATATGATAATCTTGCAAAAAACTATGGAGATTATCTAAAGAAAATATGAGCAAAAAAGGATTTGAATAATTATATTAAGACACTTGTGATAAAGATGTTTTCTAAGGAAAAAGCTTATACTAAAAAACTAGAAAATTATTGTAAAAGATATGAAGATAATGATTTATATGCCAGTCTAAAGGAATTATATGATCTTTATTATTATATAGTTAAGGAGGAGAATCATGAAAGATCAGATAAGGAAATAAAATAGATGCTCAGAGCAATAGCATTCTAACTGTTCTTTAGTAAAATCTTTCTTATATGTTATTTTTTACTTTAATTTTATTTAGCAAATATGAATAAAAAATAAAGATAATTAAATAAAAAGCATTAATTAAATAAATCAATACATTTGATATATAATGCATTTATACAACCCACTCGATAAATCAGATACAATTGCTATAATTGTTAAAAAGTTTCCCTTAGAGATACTTGATAAATTCTGCTGGATAAATAACATTTGGTACAAAGAAATTCTGCAAAAGTTTCAGCAGAGATTGGAGATTCAAGTATTAGAATATTATAATGTGAATAGAGCTTTAGATTTGTATTCATTATTCGAATAATATTTGTATTTGATGAATATTCAAATAAGATATTTAAAACTTCTGAATAATTATTCAGCGAATAATTTGAATTTGAAGATCTTATTTGAATAAAGAAATTTATTCAAATATTCAAATAAGATTTTTATTCAGATTAACTTGCATATGCTGATATGCATGTTGCATGCATGAGACGATGAAAGTTAATGAATAATGACATCACTGTTCAATAAATTATTCATGCTAAATCACAGTTCACAGATTGTTTATAACAATTATCTTTTACAAATTAAATACTAATTGCTTTACAATAAAGTAACATCTAAATGTCTTTATACCAGTCTTTTATAATATAAATCTTAAAAATACCACGTTCAAGTCGCAAAACTAATAAAAAATTTATTATTATTTATAATATATATGAAAATATAAATATTTGCAGTATCATAATTTATAAAAAAATTTCTAATTTTCAAAGACGCTATTAATCGAAAATGTTCACATGTAGAAAATAATACCAATCCAAATGATCAAGAGTAAGAATTTCAACAAAATCCTAAAAATTCAAGTAATAAAGTCACATATGGAATCATTTTAAAGTCTTGGATAATAAGGTACATGCTGAATGCCAAATATACTAAAGAAAAGGTAAACAAATATTATATAAATTCCATAGCTCTACAAGTAATATGATTTGTCATTTGGATATTAAATAAGGGATTACGAAAAATAATCCTACAGGATATGTAAGGATTTGTTAATTTCATTAATTTGTTATTAATTAATTAATTATTCATGCTAATTATGGCTTTTTGAAATTATTATTTAGGCGAGGATAGAAATATTAAAGAATCTATGGATATTGCTCATGGAAAAGCTACATTTAGAAAACAAACAGAAATTGCATTCTTCATGATAGCTTGGGTGATTGATAATTGTCAACCACCCTATCTTTTGCAATCTCAATAATTTAAAGCTTTTATGAATGTTGCATGTCCTAATTTAATATTCTGGGTGATGAAAAAGCACGACGCATCATTGATGATGCATTTGATTGGTCAACAGAACAGCTTATTAGCATGTTACAAGGTGTTCAATCTGTTTGTATCACTATTAACTTATGGTCATTACGGAATGATAAACTATATATTGGTATTACAGCTGGATGGTTAGATCCTATTGACTGGTCACTCAAAGAAGCTTTATTAGCATGTAAAAAAATTGATGGAAAGCATACTGGAGAAAATATTTAAAATGCTATAGAACAATTAATTGGAAAATTTTAGCTTAAACAAAAATTATTTGTTACTACCACAGATAATGATCCTAATGTAGTAAAAGCTATTCGATTAATAGAAATATTATACATACCATGTTGTGCTTATACCCTTCATCTTAGTGTTATTAAAGGTCTTGATACTACTATATATTTAAAAAGCATGTTACAAACCTCATCTTGTTTTTTAAAGGTAGTCCTAAACAAATAGAAAACCTTAGAGATGCCTAACGCACATTGAATTGTCCAAAGGTATATGAAGTTTTGCTTAATATCAAAACTCAATGGAACTCCACCTACATTGCATAGAACTGCCTATATGAATTGAAAGATGCAATTACTTACTTAATCATCATATTAAAAATTTCGCATGATAAGGATGATAAAACTGATGGTGATTATTTGGAACAACTTAACCTAACTGCATCTGAATGGAGATAATTTTTAGTATCTAATTATATTATAATTATAAATAACTAAATAATTAATAATTATTTTATTTTTATTATTATAGCTTACTTTCTGAAATGTTAATACTATTAGCACCTTTTTATGAAGTAACTAGAATGTTATCAAGTGTGATATATGCTACATTAAATATGATATACTGTATCATGTGCTATCTTAAAAAAATAGTAACCCTTCCAGAAGGTCAAGATGAAGAATATTATGCAAATAGAAATACACAGACAAATAATACTAGTAATCGAAATATTCTGACCCTAGATTCAAAAATCATCAAGTGATTGAAGCCTCAGTTAATACTACCAATATCTTAGAATAAGTTAAAGCTACAATCTATTTAAGCATGTGTCAATATTGGGATGTACCAAAAGAAACTACTCTACTTGCAGCTTTATTAGACTCTCAGTTCAAAAAACTTAAATTTGTTACGGAAGTACAATGTAATATAATGATTGATAAGCTTAGGCAATTATATTGAACTGAAATTATAGAAATTAACAAATATATTGAGCCACCTAAACCATCATCTGTAGAAAAGTTAGCAAATATTAATCAAAATTCTCATAAAGTTAATTATTTATTACTTGGAATGTATGAAGATTCAGATGAAGAAAAAAGCATATCTAATAAGGTATCACGATACTTAGCTTTACCAAAAGAAGTTCAGGAATGTGATCTATTAAAAAAGTAGAAAATACGAATAACCATTTTTCCAATTTTGTTTCGATTAGCAATAAAATATTTCTCAATTCTTGCTACCTCTGTACCAAGTGAAAGGTTATTTTCTGATGCTGGTCTTCATTTATCTGCTCGTCGTACTTGTTTAAAATCAGAATTGCTGAGATCTATGTTATTTTAAAAAGGAATATAAAATTGTTCAATATATTTAAACCAAAGGATCAGTAAAAAATAGGTTATAGTTTATGAATTATAACTTACAAATGTATATGTAAATTTTAAATAAAAGTTTCTTTTGAAGTGGACCTTACTAAATTTTTATTAGCTATTCAGTATTTTGGCAAATAAATAGCAATTTTACCTTAATAAATATACGGTAACTCTGAAGTCTGAACTGAATATTCGGCAAATGATTTTTTATTCAAATAAAGTTAGTATATTCACTAAATATTAGTCATTCGACAAATATTCAAATCAACTTTTTATTTATTAAATAATTTGAATATTATTCGAATAGGAAATCAGTAAGCTCTAAATATGAAAAGTAAAATTAGAAAAGAAAGAGATAGAAAGAAAATATCTTAGTGATTATATCATACAAGAATATTTACATCAAGACATCAAGAATAAATATACTGTAATTGAAACTAAAAAGTAGGTAAAGATTAAAAGGTATTTGTTTTGCAATAAAATGCTTTATAATTAAGAAAAAGAAATAGTTAAATATAATATATAGCAAATAGCTAAAAATGTGATCCTTTGGTAGGATATTTGAATTAAAAGTAAAGCTTTGAAAGAGTAGGCTAGACTAGTGAATACGCATACATTATTATTTTTATTTTTTTAGTATAATAAATTCCACTTTGATCCACAGTTTTCAAAGCCATATATCATGAGGATTTTTGAAAAAATCTGCAATAGAAATATAGTAGTCTTTTTTTGTAACATATAGTCGAAAAGGATCATAATATAAAGATAAGGTGAAATAGTCTTTTTATTTACTATAGCAAATCTGATCAATACAAACTAATTGGTATTATATATATCTTTTTATTATTGATTCTGATTTTATTCATAATCTTCATTCTGTGATACTCATTTCTGAGATAAATATTCTAATGATCTTTGATTAAAGGGCTAATTTCATTTTAGTCTTGATATATGAAAAACTATTTATGTAGAAAGAAAAGGACGTGATATCTTTTTTATAATTTAACAGTATTATCAGTAATCTTTCAGCACGTTCTTCAGAAATTCATATAAATAATACAGAGGTTTTTTAACTTAAAACACTTTCGTTAAATTTACTAAAAAATATTTCTGAAATAACTAATGAAAATATTTTGAAACTTAATCTTTGTCACTTCTGCAATAATAAAATTCTTGTTCTATTACTTTAATCATTCATAGTATTATCATGTAAACATATATACCATTGAATATATCTTAAAAAATATATTATACAAGCAGAAACATATTCTCCTTTATGTCCTATTTCTACCTATATATCATCCATCAAACTTATTAGGGAGGAACTTACACTAGCTTCTAATGAGTATCATATGATATCTAAGAATAAGAATTTCAAAAAAAGACTCATTAAGTGATAATACTATTATAGAAGAAGAATTAGCATTTTTACATGATTTAGGATCAATAGACAAAGATTCTCTTATGAGTTAAAGAAAAAAGAAAACCAAATTTACTACGTACAATCAAGCGACAAGTCAATTATATATGTAGAAGATACCATTGATAATACTAAAAATTCAACTAATAAGTCAACTGGTGATAATATTGATAATGTATAAATTCAGTTATCAAGAGAACTAACTATCTTCCAAAATTTTCTGCGAATAGAAATGATTTTAGGAATTATTGTAAGAACTGTTTACACCTGCCAAAGAGAGTCTACCAAAACCAATAATGATAATAATAATGGGTAATAGAGGGATCAATTTCATAGAGTCTAGCTTAATTATACTAAAAAAACAATTCAGACAGAAATACAAGACACAAAAATCAATCAAGAAGAAATCTCACTAATATTAATATGCTAAAGGATGCAAAGGTAAGATCAAGGAAATTATGAGAAATAGCAGTAAATTTAATGATCAACAAGCTATAATTCAAGTATATAATGAAGTCAAAAAACATCTTTCTGATATTGCAATAGTGAATTTGTGAAGGAAAACTCAGAAGGTTAGAGTAATTTACAAATTATTCATGAAAATTGGAATAGGAAAAATTAAGCGTATCAGATTATTTCGTGCTGATACAATTTCAAGACTAACTAAAGCTCAAATCAAAAATATTATAAATAGCTTCTCTAATACTGATAAATAATCTTCAAAAATTCTGCTGATCATATGAATAATATTTACGCTAATATAACTATTATATAACTACTAATTCATATATATTACGCCTGTAATATATATGCTTTAAATCATAGTAAAAAAATCTTTGATAATCAATTTATATGTAATTTTGAAAATATTATAAACATATACTCCATATATTAATAAAACATTTCATAAAGTATTTTTGCCTACATCATATTTAATTGCTGTATTATAATAAATCATTACACATAATTTATTTTTTTATTTTTATTTGTATGATAGGTAGAATGTCACAATTAATTAACTCATAATGCATGCTATTTCTTTATGATAATTTGATGCAAAAAAATATATATTGTTGAGCTTTTACATTATCATTTATTTAATATCTTCGAAATGCTTACTCATAATCTCAAGCTAAAGATTTACAAATCTGAAATATGCGAAAATGTTTAAAAGAGCAGTATACAAAATTTTTTAGCTATTCATTATTTATTTAATGATTTTATTGAACTACTAACAAATTTTTACTATGTCAAACTTAGTAGCTAAGATAGAAGTGCTTTTATTAAAAGAACTATTAGACACTTTCTATAGCATATCTGTTATATATTTAATAATAAAGAATAACATTCTACCTTCATATATTAATGTATGAGAAATAATTAACTGGGTAGTTAATTCATCTTTAACAAAAATAGAAAAACTTAGGCAAAAAAACTAAGATATTAGAAATCTTACAACAGGTAGAACACAAATGAGATTTTTATTTTTATTTTTTTACTTTAATGATAATCTTATAGTAGATGTAGACTTTAGTTTTAGTATGTTATAGCTATAGGTTAGGAAATGCTGACCCAGAAAAGTAATATCTTAAGATGTTAAGGATTTCTGCTCCTCTTTGATTATACATAACTATTTAGCTAAAATGATAAAATATTTAAATATATCTGAAAATATACATGTGCAGACATAACATTGCAATATAATTTGGAATGAAATAATAATATATCGGCATTATTTTGCATCTACTATAAATGAAAAGCAGTTACATTAGCATCAAAGGTCTTAAAGCTCTAAAAGTATTGAACATTGATAAGGAAATAATACCTAATTATAATCAAAAAGAAATAAAACGTAATCTTAAAATATTGAAGTCTAGACTTGGGTATTATTCTCATTGATACTGATTATACTTTATGTTGACATCTACTTATTTGACTAACACTAATATTCTGGATTATGTGTTTTAGTATCTGACATTCTTCAGATCTTATATAGCAAGATCCCAAAGTGAGAATAATTCTAAGTGATGATTCAGATATTGTAAGAAACTTGAAGTGTAGGCAGAAGAATGTTTCTATAATATCACATGAAAATATGAAACATGCTCTTCCTGATTTAGTTATATTTAGGTGTAAAAGATTTGTGAAAAATTTCAGTGATCTGAATATTCTAAAAGAAATGAAGAATATTTTTCATGATAAATGTTGGAAAGAATATGAGACTAAATTATTGCAAATAATAGAGTGCATTCTAGGAATACTGTAAGTTAATTCTTCTTTATAATACTCATCAATTATATAATAATAATCATTTCTATCATGATATTATTAGTGACAAAATATGGAATAATCTATCTCATAATGAATAGAGTAAAAGAACGTATATTGCAGATGTCATAATTCCTTTACTTTGAGTAAGTTTAGGTAACCTACCAAATGGAAGTATTTGTTTGAGTATAGCTGAATAATAAAGCTTAGCAAGTAAGGCTCATCAGAATTTAGGAGTAAATAAAAAAAAATGAAAAAGAAGCCCGATGTTATAAGCCTATTAAAACACAATCAAAAAATTATTGAGCTATTATATACTGAATTATCATGAATTATATGCAGAAAGCTGATAATAATATTAAATTATGGAAAGATGTATTGGATGGAGCTAGCTTTATTAATGCATTGTATAGGCCAGTTAGAAATCAATTTAGAATTACAGGAATTCAAATTACTGGTATAGAAATGCAATTAAATATTCTTGTATATGATTTAACTAGTATACCATGATATTTTCACCTTGATAATGCAGAGGTTCCACTTTCACTAAGCTTATTATCTCATGTGAAGCTCTTATATATTTATTACTAATCTTAAGAAACATTATAATTGTGAAAAAAGTTTATTAATGCAAGTATTAGAGTAAGCTAGTATATATTTGCTTAGAAATGTCAGACTAAGTCTCATAGTTTCTTTACCTTCCCATAAAAATATTAGAGTACCATATATTATTAGCATAAAAACACTATATATTTAGAGCAAGTCCCGAACTTTGTATTTATTTTGTATTATCTATACTATATTATATTAATAAAAATTTATTCTTGACAAGTACATGAAATTTTTTCACGCTATCACATGATTTTTTTTCCAGCTTTGTTACAAAAAATGTTTACTATTACTAATCATAAATGAAATGAATTGTCAGTGAGCACTTTTTTTCTTGCACTTCTGCCTTATTTCTATCTCTTTCTATAGGTTCAATGATGTGTCAAACCTTAAGCAAATTGCAAGAAGATTGTCCTCTAACGTACTAAGATCAAATACAACAAACTCACCTTTGCAGAGGTAACTATAATGACCATCATTCAATATATTCTTCACACAAGTATATCTGCAAATGATCTTAACTATGTTTTTACTAAAAACTCTATGTTATCATTGCATTTGATTAGCAGATATATGTGACAAGTTATTTAAAGTGTTAATCAATAATATTGTACTTTGTAACACTTTTTCCCAACAATGTTACTAAAACTAAGAAAAAAGAAAAAATTACTAACAGGTAAATGGATAAATTGCGAGCATCATTTATAATTATCCCATCCACTTAGCAAAAAATAGCTTCCAAAAAGAATGTAACTATCAATATTAGCGTATCTTTGAAGGGTATAAAAAAGCTTACAGAAATAGCACTACCTTTTCTAAGAGAACTGTCTACAGATAAAATGGATGTATTACAAATATTTTTTTGTAAAGCAACTTATTTTTATTGATAAAATAATTTTTATGAAAAGTGTTGAGTCCACTGAAATTGCCTCATCTACTAAAAACAGAGAGGTTACTTTAACCACTCCAAGTGTTGAAAAAATCAAGAAATATAAGCGAGCTGATATTATAAATTTTTTACAAGAGAAAAAAGAAGAGCTAATAATAAGCATATTAAAGTTATCAAAGACTAAAAGGTCATCAGTTAAGTATTTCTTTTTCTAACTAAAGAAAACCTTATGCATGATAGCTTACCTTAAGATCCAGCAAAATCAATTGCGTATTTGATTGAAACTCTCAAGAACAAAAAAGGTAAATAATGACCCTGTTGATTGTCATAATAAAAACTTAGTAGTATAAAGGAATGCTAATATTTGATAAACTGTTTGGTATATGATTTTACGACATTGACCAATTTTAGCTTTTTATTTTATAAGTGATGATAAAGCGTAAATATGAAGAATTAATAGAGAATTTAACTGAAATTGTAAAAAATGCAGTATATGAAGAATTTTTCCTATAAAAACCTAATGTAATTTCAATATCAAAGCTTTCTAAAATAATTATGAAAAAAATTATGGATAATATTGGAATAAAGACTATAAAGGTAAATACTTTCTATTTAGAGTTTTCTTATCACTTATCATTTATCTATTCTAGTTATCAGTGAAAGACTTTTTACTACTTGAACTTGTGTTATGTGAATCATTCAAATAGGATATAGAGCAGGAGAAAGTTCAATGGATACAAGATGTTAAGAAATGGTTTAAAAATGTATTAAGTCTACCAAAAAATTTTTATATGAAAGATATCCACAAACAAGTAAACTTTCAATGACATTTGCAAGATGCGAACGCTATTATAACAGATAGTACTGATATATCTGTCAGACCAAGTAAGACAGCTTGCATTTGAATTGAAATTATAAAAACATTAGAGGATTTTAAAGAGTGTTAAGTTATGGGAGAGTTATTCTTAATAAATAAACTTCCATCTTACAAATGCAATAACTGTCTTAATGGATTGCAATAATAATTGGATTATTTATTTTTTCCTGAAAATAAATGAAGAACAATATATAATAACGTTTAGAATTAATAATCGTAGTACTACTTTGATGATAATTGAATAGTTTATGCTTGAAAAAGGACAATTCTCACAATTGTTTCAGTTATGCTTTTGAGAATTTTTGTTTTCTTTTTAAGAGACATAAGTAAGTTTACCTAATAGGTGATATTTTTTCCTATTTACAGTTGATGTCAGAATAGCAGACATACAGTGAACTCTTGATATAATGAATTCTAGAATCTGGATATCAACTTCGTTATAAGCTTATAATGAATTTTTTAAAGAATTTAATTGGCTAGTTCACT